TTTGTCAGTGGCAATTTTAATAGAACTAGTGATCGCCCGGTAGTCGAAATTCGACTATAATAAATTGAAATTATAAGTTTGTACACTATTATGATTATATTTTTAAAGACTATTATACTTATATAATCACAAATTTCGCCAAGACTACTTCTATAGAAAAATATTAATCAAGACAAACAATATTTAATCTATTCTCAATTTGACCACAGACGTCAAGAACAAAAGTTTGACAATGAATAGTATGCATGCGGGTGTGCGTCAAATACATGGTATGTAGTGTGTGGAAAATTTCATACTACTCCGTCTGCGCAATTTTCGTAAAAAGGGATACAAAGTTTTTGCTTCACGTATTAATATATAGATTAGCGAAATTGCTAATGTGGATACGTGATTTTAGTAGCAGCATAGTCTTATTTGACATATGATACGACAAAAAGTCACGTTGACTGACAATCTAAGTGATACCTATCGTGTCAAGAGTACAATGAACCCTAAAATAAATAAATATATCGCGAAAGTTTTATAAAAGTCTTGGTCTCAGGTTATCTTCTTTTTTTGTTTTTTTTTTACTGCAACCCGAACATATCGTGCTGGGCCGTCGAAATCGCAACAACGTAATAGCCCATGAATACAATAAACACATGAATTTGGAAAACATTTACTGAATCCATTATCTGTGGAAATTCGTGTGTCAAATAAATTGAATGTTTGCGATTCACGGGTATTGGGTATGGGGATTTTGGGGGTTCAGAACTTGCTCATTCCCGTAATCACCATTTTATATCACTGCCCTTTCCAACATCGATGCACTACTTATCTCTACTACTTGAAGACCTTGTACTCCAAAAAGATGAAACACGCACCGTAGTTCAGAAATACGCTCATCTACAATCATCACCATGACTACTCATCCATGATCATATATTTTGTCACGTACCCATTTGCGTTAAAATATTTTATTTATTTATTTTATTTCTTAGATGGGTGGACGAGCTCACAGCCCACCTGGTGTTAAGTTGTTACTGGAGCCCATAGACATCTACGACGTAAATGTGCCACCCACCTTGAGATATAATTTCTAAGGTCTTATTATAGTTACAACGGCTGCCCCGCCCTTCAAACCGAAACGCATTACCGCTTCACGGCAGAAATAGGTAGGGTGGTGGTACCTACCCGCGCGGACTAAAAATCAAAATTAACTCATGTTTATCGAAAGTAATAAATACCTTTACATATACTTTGTGCTTTTTATTTATGTCAAATGACTGCATTATTATTATTAATCGTTTTTGGAATTCATCTATATATTAATACGTGAAGCAAAAACTTTGTATCCCTTTTTACGAAAATTGCGCCGACGGTGGAGTATGAAATGTTCCATACTTATAGAGAATATAGAGAAGAAGTGCACATGCTAATATTTTTTTAAAATAATGCATAAAAGATACATTAAATCAATAAAGAAAACATTACACACACTACATACCATGTATTTGACTCACACACGCATGCATACTATTTATTGTCAAATTTTTGTTCTTGACGTCTGTTGTCAAATTGAGATTAAATATTGTTTGTCTTTGTTAATATTTTTTATAGTGTAGTCTTGGCGAAATTTGTGATTATAGAAGTATAAAATACAATCATAATAGTGTACAAACTTACAGTTCCAATTAATTATAGTCGGATTTCGACTACTGCGGGACCTCTAGTATTGTTAAATTCATACATCCACCACACTGGTAGACCTAGTAGTTTAAGAATCGACCACGTATTTCGTGTATGGTGTTGGTACCCAATGCGAAATTCCCAACATACTTATGACCTTAACATATACGAAACACAGTATTTATTTACTTTTTTTTATTGCTTAGATGGGTGGACGAGCTCACAGCCCACCTTGTGTTATAATTATTATTAATTAATGCTAAGGTAATTATCATTTAAGTATTATCTGATGATGTTGTCTGAAACTGGTTTATATGCAGCCTCACATGAGACGGTGGAGCCTATCCCGAAGTTGTGTTAATGCATTGCATGCAGTGCAAAATACATCGGTGAAATATCATTTTACGATCGTGATCAAACCGTATTGTACTCGTAGTAGTCATCGGCACTATCGCCTGTCTTTGTCAGTGGCAATTTTAATAGAACTAGTGATCGCCCGGTAGTCGAAATTCGACTATAATAAATTGAAATTATAAGTTTGTACACTATTATGATTATATTTTTAAAGACTATTATACTTATATAATCACAAATTTCGCCAAGACTACTTCTATAGAAAAATATTAATAAAGACAAACAATATTTAATCTATTCGCAATTCGACCACAGACGTCAAGAACAAAAGTTTAACAATAAATAAATAGTATGCATGCGTGTGTGCGTCAAATACATTGTAGTGAGTAATGTTTTTTTTATACATTTAATGTATTTCTTAGGCATAATTTAAAAAAATATTAACATTCTGCACTTCTTCTCTATATTCTCTATAAGTGTGGGAAATTTCATAATCCAACCGCGCAATTTTCGTAAAAAGGTATACAAAGTTTTTCCTTCACGTATTAATATATAAATTAGTAGTAAAAATCATAAGTAATAAGTAATTCATAGCTTTGGTGATTTTTAGTAGTTTATCAGTTCCCGTATTAACAATTGGGTATTTTTCTTCAAGAAAATATAGCCGAGGAGAATTTGTAGAATTCCAACATGTTTTCCGATGATACCATATATAGTTTGATTTCGGAATAGGTGCTTTAAGAATCACAACTAAACCACTTAAACGACTACTATTCTATTTAAATATACCTTGACTATGTCACCGGAAATCCAAACGGATTTAATTGGTTTTCAGTCTATGCGGAGCAATTGCTATCGGGTCTTTTGAGCTCGTGGGGAACCCGATTTGACTAATCCCACTCTCAAAATCCATTTGCAAGACTTTCCATCGCAATAGTCGTCTAAAAAACAAGTAATAACAATTTGTTAATTAAATATTTATCCACAGTTTCTTGGAGATTTACAACGAGCGTGTTCACGATTTATTGGTCGGGGAAGCATTACCCGTATGCCACTCCCTGCCTAGGCGAAGAGGGAACGCACGCAAGGATCTACGTGTTCGCGAACATCCTACCAAAGGACCTTATGTACAAAGTAATCAAAATTTCAAAGTAAATAACATAACGAACAAATTAACACAGTTTTTTTCTTTTCTACGCGAACAATTAAAATAAATAATTTCTGTCTTTTTTGTTGACAACACTAACAAGCTAATAAAAATGGGCAAAATTGCAAATATTGATTTTGATTTCATAAGCTGTTTTGTTATTTTCGTATTATGTGTCAAAATGACATACATTCAACTATAACAATTTGATTTTTATTTATTGCTTAAATGGTTGTACGAGCTCACAGCCCACCTGGTGTTAAGTGGTTATCGGAGCCCATAGACATCTACAACGTAAATACCGCCACCAATCTTGAGATATGAGTTCTAAGGTCTCAGTATAGTTACAACGACTGCCCCACACTTCAAACCGAAACGTATTACTGCTTCACGGCAGAAATAGGCAGGGTGGTGGTATCTACCCGTGCGGACTCACAAGAGGTCCTACCACCAGTAATAAAGAGTAGTATTATTATTATCCACGGTAGATTTGCGTCGAGTAGCAGTAAAAAATGTAGAGGATCTTCTGTCGTTGGTGCGCGAGGGAAGCCGCCGGAGACACACAGCAGCGACCAGACGCAATCTTACATCATCCCGGTCCCACGCGTTGTTGGCGTTGTCCACGTCACGAGCCACCTTGCATCTCGCTGATCTAGCTGGAAGGTGAGCTCATGAAAATAAGAAAATATACTTTTTGCAAATCGATTAGAAATCTATATATTAATACGTAATGGAAAAAATTTGTATCCCTTTTTACGAAAATTGCGCGGACGGAGGAGTATGAAATTTCCCACACTTATAGAGAATATAGAGAAGGAGTGCAGAATGTTAATATTTTTTTAAATTATGCCTAAAAATACATTAATCAAATACATAGTTAAAAAAACATTACACACACTATATATTTGACGTACACGCATGCATACTATTTATTTACTGTCATACTTTTGTTGTACGCCTTTGTATTAAGGCACTGAGGTATTTTGGACGAGAAGACGTTGTGCAGTTTACCGAACGCTGCCCAGCCGAGTTGGATGTGTGTTACCAGTGATGACTTACGGCTCGGAGATGTGGTGCTTCACTAGGGATCTTTTTAGAAGGCTCAAAGTCGCGCAGCGAGCTATGGAGAGGGCTATGCTCGGCATTTCTCTACGTGATCGAATCCGAAATGAGGAGATCCGTAGAAGAACGAAGGTTGCTGACATAGCCCGTAGAATTAGTGAACTGAAGTGGCAATGGGCCGGCCACATAGCACGAAGAGAGGACGGTCGATGGGGCAGAAAGATCCTGGAGTGGCGACCACGTACTGGCAAGCGCAGTGTGGGACGGCCACCTACTAGATGGACCGACGACCTAGTAAAAAGCGCTGGGTCTCGTTGGATGCAGGTGGCAATGAACCGGTCGCACTGGAAATCTATTGGAGAGGCCTATGTTCAGCAGTGGACGGCGATAGGCTGAAATGATGATGATGATGATACTTTTGTTCTTGACGTCTGTGGTCAAATTGAGAATAGATTAAATATTGTTTGTCTTTATAAATATTTTTCTATAGTGCAGTTTTGGCGAAATTTGTGATTATAGAAGTATAATAGTCTTTGAAAATAGAATCATAATAGTGTACAAACTTTTAATTTCAATTAATAATAGTCGAATTTCGACTACCGGGCGACCACTAGTAATTTGAAAATCTTTAATAAACTTTTATACACAATTTACAGTAAAAGCTTTAAAATTTTTATGGTCAATAAATTTAATTATTAACTACAGTGATTGTTAACAATTTTTAATGATGAGAAAATATTTTTCATGTTAATTGTAGAATTTGAGTATCATGGAGGTTAGAGGTGAGGCACATACTCTAAATGAAAACGTGTCGGTCAAAAAGCGACCAATTAGTGTTAAGGGTGATATTAAATTTATTAGCCCCTCGAGGTTACTAGCATAGGTGGGTAAAACGTATATTAAATTTTTGAGGCTCAGCATACTTCACCCCTTTTACAATTACTACATCCCTATCATACCACTTGCTACGCTGGTGCTATATTGATGAGTTTTTTATTTTTTCAAACTGTCTTCCGTGTAAGACGGTTCTCCTTACCTCTACCATCTGTAAGTGGGATACTACTGTGTCTACTACGTTTGAGGTTAAATAGCTCCTCGACTGCGATTGTGTAAGCCGCGCTTAGTAATGGAAGCAAAATGGCGCCACATAATGTCTTTATGATGAAATCGTTTAAATTATCGAATGAAAACGACGTTCTTTGGCGAATCCGAAACAAATGAAGGGTGTTTTTATTTCGAAACAGTGAGAAAGCGAGCTGGGAAGGGTGCGGTGGTGGCAGACAGAAGGAAGGTGCCAATATAAACAAGTCTCTGGTAGCGCTCAGTAATGTCATATCTGCGTTAGGTAAGGAAACTATGCACAAGTATTTTTTGTCTCAATTGTAGTTTTTAGGCTAGTAAGATACAACTGGACTGAACATTCCCACTTTGAAAAGGCGGCACGACATGAGACCCCTCTTGTCGTGGCCGCTGGAAACTACATACCCGATCCTGTCGACCGAATGGTAAACAGTCGACGTCGCCCAAAACTCGTCATTACGGATCCTCCCGATCCATTAACGATGCTTTTAGGTACCACAAGCACCGGTCACAGTCTTCGTCGAACCCGTCGCTGGCAACGAAGGGCTCGACGAGCTAATTAACCCATAGACACAGCCCACTGAGTTTCTCGCCGGATCTTCTCAGTGGGTCGCGTTTCCAATCCGGTAGTAGATTCTGCGAAACACTGCTTGGGTCTTGCTAGGGTCAGTGTTAGCATCACTCCGGCTTGAGCCCCATGAGCTCACCTACTAGTTAAGGTTACGCTGAAATAGCCTCTCAATGCTATCAGCTTAGGTAGGGGAAAAAAATGGACTGGACAACGTAGATCTTAGCCATAACAAAACTCTATCAAAAAATGTACGGTCTCAATCAAAAACCTCCTCGTATTTCATTTACATTAATAGCCCCTTGTAGGCAGACGAGCGAGCATACGGCCCAACTGATGGCAGTGGTTACCGTCAAGCCGCTGCTTACCGCATAATACCAGCATAATACATAGGCAGCGGCCTACCATTGAAGTCGATTAAGAAACTATCATATTTTACAGAACTAGAAGTAATTTTTGTTATTACTTGTAACACTCCGGTTTGAGTCCCGTGAGCTCACCTACACACGTTAGGGTAAAGCTGAAATAGCCTCTCAAGGCTATCAGAATAGGTAGGAAAAAAAAGTTATTACATTTCAGCAAAATGACGACCTGATTGAGAAAATTTGTTCGGCAAGATTAATTAGATATTGATTATATTCTACACAAAGGCATACAATACGTTAACAGTATCACGTGACTGTTGATCGTATAATCGCATGAGAACCATAGATTAATGGTTTTCCAGGTGTCACAAAACTACTAGTGAACTCCTATTAGCCACAAGGAAACTATTTAAAAGAATAAACAATGCTAAACTAATATAAATAGAAATATTATCACGCTGTAAATACAGCATTAGACTTTTAACTAAATTTGATTCTAGTTTTATAGGAAAATACGCAAGTTGGAATCTAATTTGTTTTTAATATAAGTTTTATGTTTCTTTCTTTAAAACTGAAACACTCATTTGATGTGAGACTTATTTCACATAATAAAATATTGTAAATGTATTTCCCTTCTTATAGTATGCGTTTTATAGTATTGTGAGTACAGGTAACCCTCTTATAACACCGTAGAGATATATTCCTAAAAAAATCCGTGTTTTGCGGAACCGTGTTATATGAGACTAGACGCCAGTACAAAAAGAAAAGTATTTTTTCTGAATTAAACATCTCAATTATGTCTGTACGTATTTTTTGCAAATATTGATACATTAAAAATCTCTCATTAACATTACCAATTAACATCTCACATGTGATTTTCGGTAGTGATGAGAAAGAAAATCTGTTTTCTTTAAACGGGTTGATTTTTACGACAAATTTCGATAAGCTATTTTGATAGTGCTTAATGTTTGATTTTCCTATTTCAGTTACCAATGGTTTCGGTAAAATAAAATTCGTTCCCTATCGCGACTCCGCGCTGACTTGGCTGTTAAAAGACTGTTTTACGGGTGGCGCGAGCAGTTTTATTATAGCCAGTAAGATAATAAAGAATTTATTACTAACTAGCTTTACAATAATAAGTCAATAAGTACATTCCATATATTTATTACAGATATGTACATTAAAAAATCATAGCAAATAAAACTTCACTGAATTAACAATTTCTTTCAAGTTCTCTGATCTTTCATTCATTCTTATTCTTTATTGTACACGCAGTTAATATTACAATAATTGCGTAAGATATAAAAAATGGCGAGCTTAACTCTTGAGATCAGATTTTCTGAGTAGGGAATTTGTTAAGTATGTATTTCATTAGAAAATCATTGGGGGCTCGGCGGGATTCGAACATCGGCACCATCGCATCGCTTGAAACGATTGCACCGGGCGTCTTATCCTTTAGGCCACGACGACTTTGTAAGCATTACTGTGGAATGTAAGGTTGAAGTCTGTTATTTTGGATTAATATTTTATTCTACTACTAATATATATACCCTACTACGAATACTCGTAGGTAAGGATGTGAGGAATAATTACGTAAGATAATAAGACAGGATATTCCACCTCTACAGCCGGATAATGAAGAAGAATTAGATAATAGTGCTCGAACCAGGATCGCCTATAAGATATCCCCTGAAGATATCATACTGGTGGTAGGACCTCTTGTGAGTCCGCACGGGTAGGTACCACCACCCCACCTATTTCTACCGTGAAGCAGTAATGCGTTTGGGTTTGAAGGGTGGGGCAGCCTTTATAACTATACTGAGACCTTAGAACTTATATCTCAAGATGGGTGGTGCATTGGTGGGTATAGTGACAACGGCTGCTGGGTGGCTGTGAGCTCGTCCACCCATCTAAGCAATAAAAAAAAAAGATATCCTCTGCAAAATCGACGTCAGTTATTAGTGGTATTTGTTTCAGCTGTGTCTCCGAGTGTAGCGTGCTACGGAGAGTCGGCCTCCACACTCCGTTGGGCGGCCCGAGCTCGCCAGCTCCCGTCAACGAGCCCTCAACTCAGCGGAACCATTGTTGCATCCAAAGCAGATCTACAAGCGCAATTAGATCTACTAATCGCTGAATTGGCCAACGACTATATACGTTATGTAAGCCGTCGACGCCCTAGACACGTCCTTACGGATCCATCAGATGCAATAAACTTTGCATTAGATGCTTTTAGCTCTAGAAACAGGCTTAGGGACCCCGGTAACCGTACTCGTCGAACTCGACAAAGAGGTCGACGTGCAACCTAACCCATGCATCAGCCCGCTGAGTTTCTCGCCGGATCTTCTCGGTAGGTCGCGGTTCCGATCCGGTAGTGGGTTCTTTCGCGAGGCAATTGCTCTTGATTTGTTTGGTCTCCTTCGGAGGTACTCGGGTAGTTGTTAGCAAATCCCACCCCTCCTGGCTGAGCCTTTGCTCGCCTACCTGTCCTGGCCTTCGGCCCACCGGTAATCTTTCAATCATAAAAAAAAACACATTATGTAAGTGATCAAGGATATATTTGTGTTGTTTTTTTTTCGATTGATAATGTTCAAGCTTGCCTATTTATGTTTGGGGGAAACGACAAAGGGCAGATCTTCCATCGAGTGGATTAGATAGCTCGGTAGACTGACGAGTTGTGACGAGGTGTTGTAGCGAGACTCAAGCATTTGTCAATACGTTAAGTTCCTTGATATTGATTTTTCTAGCAGTTTGTCAAGTTGCGCGTTTGAAACAATTACGACTGTCTTACTAAATACCTGTAACTATAGTCATAGGATTTGAAACTCTCGTTCAAATTCAATAAGGTTTCTTGTCAGTCGTTTTCACTCTTAGCAGAGTGGTCGTGGTCATCATTTGGGTGGTAGTGCACTTCACTAGACGTTACCATTCCTCTATAAGTTAAGATTCTCATTCTTAATAAGATGGTGATCTCATATTTCGAGATAGCATCATTTACATTGGGATTTTTGTTGCGCACTGAGCCTGAAGTTATGAAAAAGCTATTTTACAAAAAAAATAGTTTTCAAGAAAATTAGCTTAGTTTTCGTTGTGTTGTGCCTTTAATAGCCCCGTCATATTCCCATGGGTATCGTAAAAGGTAACTGATTAGGGAATTCTGATTAATGTTTAGGGGATTAGGGGATTCATTAGAGAACGGGCAGCAGCGTTCTCGGAGCATTATATCAGTGTACACCTATCGCCAATCGACCTATACTGGTGATAGGGCGTATTACAAGCCCGCATGAGTAGGTATCACCAAACTGCCTATTTTTGCCGCAATCGGTCACAGGTGCTGGCTTGAAAGATGCGACTGCCGTTATACAATATAATTGATACTTCGATCTCATGTCTCAAGGTGGGTGGCAGTATTCAATTGGTGATGTGTATGGGCTACGATAACTATTGTAAATTAGACGAGCCGTGAAAAACATTCATGCGTGTACACCATAAAAGAGTGAAATAAATTTGAATCTACTGTTTTAGGTACCAGAGACTGGAAAGATAAGCTATGATGATATTCACTGGACATTACAAAAGAACAGAATAGTGGTGAATTCAGAGAACAAAATAGGCGCTTTTTTGGATATAATGCATCGGAAATCCGATTCTCGCAATGAAGAGTCCTCATCATCATTGGCTCTGAGTGATAGTTCGGATTTCATCGGTGCAGAGGATAAGAACAAGATCACAAATGAAATCAACAAAGAGGTCGATAAAATCTTAGGGACGTCTTTAGAACGAACGAGTAGTGGATGTGATTTGAAAGTAGTTCCACCTCTACGACATAAACGAAGAGAATATCGCTCTCAAGAAGTTTTACCTATAAATGAGACAATTGATCGTAATCAAGAACAAAATATAGCTCAAATCGTCAACAGCCATAGTGATATACAAATAAATACAAACAAAGAACAAACCGAACTAATCAAAGTCCCGCATGCTTCCATTATTCATGAAAATCAAAGATCTGAAATTGTCGCAGCAGTAACGGAGAGATTGTACTCTAAGCTTAAAAAGAAAGAGATACCTGCTGTACATAAAATGGAATCTATAGTTGACAAAAAAATTGTAGAGCCCTTGAGTGAATTAAGAATTTGCACAAATGCTCGTCAACGCTTAATAGAATTGAGTCAAAAAGCTATCAGAAACAAAAGAAAGATTGGAATACCTGTTTCAACACAGACTAGAATGTCTGTGATACGAGTCAAGGATAAAGCAGTAGATGTTCAAGCTGATCTGGATTCATATATTGTCGATAGATTGAAGTCTTATTCGCTATATCGTGACGTCGCTACTGAAACTATAGCCATGACCCCTAGATGTAAAGAGCAATCTGTGGGGCCTGCGTTTGGGTCAATGCGATTCCGTGATTTCTCAACGCCAACGGAAATTCAAAAAAACAGCTCGAAAAATTCTTATACGATGACTGATATCTGCGGTCAATGTGATAACAGCACACAGACCCAAATTTTACCACCTCCGAGACGTAAGAAACGTTGTCCCTCATTTCCCAAAAACGTCAATAATAGTAATACTTGGAACGTTTCAGAAGAAGCTACTGTGTCTCCAGTTATAAGCATTAATATATCCCAAACATATCCAGTTGATTCAGACTCGCAAAGTTCTGATGAAAATTCGAACACTGCAACAGACAATTGTAAAGTAAGTCCCAAAGCATCAACTCCTGATTTGTTAACGAATCACACTGCAGACGCTATGGATGCCGTTGAAAATCATATAAGCGTCGATGGTACCGATAGTCGACAACTGAATTTCCCGTATTCACTTTCATTAGAAGCCTCAGATGTCTCCGAAACACAATATTGTGAACATGAATTTTCAGATTCGGACGAACACGCATTACCAAGAGTAAAAGTCGGTTCTTTGTGTCAAAACAAGTCCGACATAAAAGACTTAATTTTAGGACGAAACAAAAATATGTTTCCTTACAATATAATGCTATCTCCAGAAAAAGTCAAGGATTCTTGCAAAAGAACGGTTTCATTCAAAGATTTCGATATAGATCATGCAATGAAAATGGCGACTAAAGCGAATCAATTGGATCATGAACACGTAGAGGATAAAAGTAATTACACTTTAGGAGAGGGTTGTTATCCAGATTTTGATAATGCAGTTCATCGCGAGGATACTTCTCTATCAGATTCTACTGGGTCAAGCAAAATGGAAACGGATTCATTTATATGGAAAAGCAATAAAACTCTGGGATGTTCAAGAGGTCATTACGTTCCTGTTTATAAACCTTCAAAATATAATACTACTAAAGCTCTATATAATAAAGATCTTTCACGTTTAGAAAAGCGTCTTGAAAACGAACTGACTCCATTATATTGTATCGGTAATGCATCAGAAAGGAACACTGAAGATTGTCATTCGCTGAAAAACAATTACCACGATTATAAGATTTTCGAAAACATGAATAAAATGCTTGAACACAAATTGAATTCACGTCGCAAATACGACTTTCCAACTATTGAAAAGAACATTCTTGCATCATGCGAAAAGCTTGAATGTATTGCGAATAAATATGACGATTACGTATCTAATATTGAAAAGGTGAAAGAGAATAGTCTCAAGAAGAGTTCTTTGGGGACGCCAACAGAATATTTGCAACGTTTAATACAAATAAGAAAAAGTGTAATAAAATCCGAAAGTGAAGATACAGACAGCTCTTTGGTATCCCACAAATAGTTATAAATTGAAGACTACTTACTACTGATTTATTTCAATTTTAATTTATCCGAAATGTGACATCCGTTAATATTTCGGTGTTATAAACTCTTCCGTAATTATACAAAAAATAAATAGCTAAATATAATATTCTTCTGTTTGTCTTTTGATTTATTTTGTTAAGCAGCTATTGACGAACTTTAGTGATATGATTAAATTTTTTCAAAAAATATTAAGTTTTATTTATTTAAAAAAGTCACAAAACAATGAGGTGTCAGTGATTATAGTCTAGTGTACATCATTGGACGAACAAATAATATTATTTCTTAGATTTTGGCGTTATAGATCTCAGCAGCTTAGAGCCCGTAGGGGGTGCTGAGATTCCACGATATTTTCTTCACAGCAGAGGATGTCTGTCCAGCGAGATAATTAATTGTAAATACAAATATATACTTGTCTAATGAATATAATTATATATAACTATTACATATTTTTGTGTAGAAATTCTAATTACCCATTAATCTTGTTTTTCTTTTGGGTGTGTTTGTGTTGATTTATCAACTTCCTGAACATCAGAGGACTGAGTCGAGTCACTTTCTGTAGATGCAGAATCAAATATTTGGACTTTTGTTGTTTTCTTTCTTGTCGACCTGCAAGTTTGTTGACAAACGTTTTTAAGACTTGACTTTAAGGGTTTGTCATTTTTTGACGGAGTTTCTGAGAGAGTTTGACTGACTTTTTCTTTAGAAGTATTTTCGGACGTATGCAAACTAATGATGCCCTGATTCAATTTCTCTTGTAACTTCTGTTTGATTTCATTAGCAATTTTTTCGGCTTCGAATAGTTCGATTTCTGTCAGTTCACGTTTTTCTTTGATGTGTTTTTTAGAGGCTTCAAAGTTTATCTTCTCCTGTCCATATTGCCTTGGTATTATTAGTTCACTGTCATCTTCAGATTTGGTGTACGTTTCAGGAGTACGACTAGAAGTGCTTTCACTTTCGCCGGACATAATTTCAGGGTATTCAATTGACTCCAAGAGATTGTAAACAATTTTAACAATGAATTTTTTGTCTTTCGCGACCGTCTTATACGCAGAACGGAGGGCTAGCCTATTCTTTTCGGCCGGTACCAAGGACATTTCCGACGTGAGTACATCGTAGGGAGCCGCGAAGTATATAACATCCCTTTCTGTGTTTGTAGAATCATTAGTGCTGTCAGGAATTGAATCTTCATCGACCTTGAAGTCATTGTTTTTGAAATGGATTTTAGTGCTGCTTCTAGAAATATGACGTTCGGAGGCATCGTATTCGCTTTTATCGTTGGCCCAACAATCCGGAGATACCGTACGAACATGTTTCTCATTCATTTCCTAAAACAAATTAAGACTCACATACTGACAGACTGACAGACTGCATATTTTATGTACTTAAAATATTATTTTAATATTATATTAATATTAATAAATACGGCAGCCCTGATAGTTAGTGCTATTTAGGCACAGCCAGGTCGCTAATCACAGCTAACTAATTTTAAGCTAACTCTATGCAAGCCTCGTTTGAAAAATACATATGCTGTTCTGAGGAAGAAAGTTAATTCCAGAGTTAGAAGTAAACAATTATCTTTGATTGTTTTATGGATGGTTGCTGTGGTTCCAAGTAATAGGAATGAACTCTTCTCTGATTGCGGGTATTTATAAAAAATCGGACCAAAATTTCTCAGTAGATTCATACTTTCAAACAAAGCATTAGACTAGGATTATAGAAAATCCAAACAGAACTCTACTATTTGAAGACAAATTGATGTACTTCGTAATTGTCTTGTCCAAGAGACGTAAGTAGTAGGTACTTCATGCGAGACCAAATCTGAGCATGATATCGAGCTGTAAAAGGCTTCTTGGTTCAAGCGACACTTTTGCAACTTTACAGGAGTGCCATTTAAAGCTTAAAATTTGGAAAGAATATCAAAATAAAATAACTTCTTGAGCTATCCCCGCCTATTTTTGTCGTAAAGCAGTAATGCGTTTAAGTTTGAAGGGTGGGGTAGCCGTTGTAACTATACTGAGACCTTAGAACTTATATCTCAAGGTGGGTGGCGCATTTACGTTGTAGATGTCTGTGGGCTCCGGTAACCACTTTACACCAGGTAGGCTGTGAGCTAGTCCACCAATCTAAGCAATAAAAAAAAAATTGAATGAAGTAAACTTAATTGAAGATCAATTAAAAACATTGAACTATTGACGCTAATCTCTATATATATAAATGAATTGCTGTTCGTTAGTCTCGCTAAAACTCGAGAACGGCTGAACCGATTTGGCTAATTTTGGTCTTGAATTATTTGTGGAAGTCCAAAGAAGGTTTAAAAGGTAGATAAATATGAAAACGCTCGGAATTAAATAAAGATAACAATTTTGTTTTCCTTTGATGTGTCCCCCGTCCGACCGATTCCTTTTGTTTGTTTTAAGTTTTTTTATACAAAAGTTTAGGTTTTTTATTTATCGATTGAGGCACTACGCAAAACGCATTTTGAACTATAAAGATAAATGTTGCGTATTACACGTATGTTCGTTTAAATCAAATAGCCTTCGCCCCTCGATATAAGTCTTTGACTAGATGTAAAGTACCATTGAGATTCTTCTTCTTCTCCATCGCTCCCTCATTGCTGAGGATCGTGACTCCGTTTTAGCTTGTCGACTGTCATTGAGATTAACAGTACGTTAAAAACGAATCTAACCATCATCTTATCAATATTTCCAATGAGCTCTGCTTTGACACGCACAAGTTGGAAGTCGACGGCCAAGAGCACTCTTGTCAGGGCCAAAAAAGCAGATAGAAGCCAGCATGCTGTAGGAATATTAAGAAAATAACACAAATGCTAATGCGAAATATTCAAGCGAGGGTTTTTCAATATTATATATTTTGGGAGTACTTTCGAGACCAGAACAGATGACCCTACAATGAAAATAGTTTGACTGAGTCAGTGATAAAAAATTGAGACATTTGACCACGGACCTATAGTTACTGCTAAATCTGAGTACAATTTATTTCTGCTACTAAGCGTTCGATCCGGTCTGGCTGTGTATTCGAAGTCAAAGTCCCAATTGAATACAGGAAGCCAGCGGCTTGGCTCTGCCTCTGGCAATGCTGAAGTCCATGGGCGAGGTAACCACTTACCATCAGGTGGGCCCTATACTCGTCTGCATACAAGGGCAATAAATAAATAAAACATGTCACACCCTTAAAAACTGAACATATGATCACTTCGTGGCAGCGGCTTGGCTCTGCCTCTGGCAATGCTGAAGTTCATAGGCGACTGTAACCACTCACCATTAGGTGGGCCGTATGCTCGTCTGCCTACAAGGGTAATAAATAAATAAAAAATATCACACCCTAGAAAACTGAACATAAGATCATTTCGTGGCAGGCATAGACATAATTATAATACTGGTCCGTGTGGGCTACCAATGCGCCCGGCTACTAGGGTAATATACTGATGTGAACCTTTTTTTAATTTTTTTTATTGCTTAGATGGGTGGATGAGCTCACAGCCCACCTGGTGTTAAGTGGTTACTCGAGCCCATAGACATCTACAAAGTAAATGCGCCACCCACCTTGAGATATAAGTTTTAAGGTCTCAGTATAGTTACAACGGCTGCCCCACCCTTCAAACCGAAACGCTTCACGGCAGAAATAGGCGGGGTGGTGGTACCTACCCGTACGGACTCACAAGAGTTCCTACCACTAGTAAAACCTTAAAAGTTTTTCCTCCAACTCTGTATCTATGGATGATTATTTACCTGTATGCATCCAGGCTGTAGCGATGGTGAGTTGTGTTGCTTGATACACGCCACGGATCCGACGTTCATACGCTAATGTCGCCACGTTTATTGTATAAGTACACCTTTTTAGAACAAAACGAATTGAACGTTCCCTTCTTCAAACGAAGCTTGTAGAGTGTATTAAGCGGTAGGCAGCGGCTTGGCTCTACCCCTGGCATTGTTGAAGTCCATGGGCGACGGTAACCACTCACCATCAGGTGGGCCGTATGCTCGTCTGCCTACAAGGGCAATAAAAAAAATGTAAATATCCTCAATCTTATAAAATTCCATATTATTATGATCATAAGGAACGTTTGTATATTTGCCTCAGTTGTGGGCATTTCACGGAATGTTTCTGTCATCATCATCATCATCATTCTTTCCTATTACCGTCTGCTGGGGTGTAGGGCTCGAATCAAATTTTTCCATTTACATCGGTCTTGGGCAGTCTGTTCTAGTTCCTCCCACGTCATGCCCACGAACCCTAGCTCCTGCTCCACCGAGCGACACCAAGTTCTGTCATAGTATCATGAAAGTAGGAAAGGTAGCGCGCGAATAGTTTATAGAGCTAGATGTTTTTCATACAATTGGTGATAGTCATAAGGCAGAATGGCAGAGTTTCATCAGCTACTTTTAACAATGGTAAATTTTACACGCTCTGTGTGGCAACATCCGGGCTAGTTTTGCCCTGAAGCCAACATATTGTGTTCCAGATTAAAGGGCGGGGCAAGAATTCTACGATACAATTGTGACATCCACCTTTTAATTATGGCACAGTAATATGAACGCGCTCCGGTCTTAAGACCAAAAAGGTACTTGAAATAATATTTCAGTCTATCAGGTTTTCTCAAGTTGTCGTTATTGTAAGATTATCACTAAACTATCAATGGCGTGATTTGCTTGGATGTACATCCGACCTACAAATCAAAAACCATTAGCCCGATTATGAAAATACAATAAAGTGTAATAAAATATTTTATCACTAGTGGTAGGAACTCTTGTGAGTCCGTACGGGTAGGTACCACCACCCCGCCTATTTCCGCCGTGAAGCAGTAATGCGTTTCGGTTCGAAGGGTGGGGTAGCCGTTGTAACTATGCTGAGACCTTAGAACTTATATCTCGAGGTGGGTGGCGCATTAACGTTGTAGATGTCTATGGGCTCCAGTAACCACTTAACACCGGGTGGGCTGTGAGCTCGTCCATCCATCTAAGCAATAAAAAAAAAGTGTAATAAATATGATTGAGTTATAACATACGTGGGACTGCCGGTTATTTCGCCGAGCTTGACACAAAGTTCCTTTAGGCCCGAATGAGTGACAATTGATGTGTAAGTGCAGAGTCCTCCCATGGACAATGAGAATAAAATCACCGGTAGCAAAACGCGCCACGGTCGCTGGAGACTGTTGAAGATATTATTATAAGAGTATAAGGTTGGACTATAAAAATACAATAGCAGCTTTCGCTAATAATTCTAAGGTGTGTGGCGCATTTACGTTGTAGATGTCTATGGGTTCCAGTAACCGCTTAACACCAGGTGGGCTGTGAGCTCGTCCACACATTTAGGCAATAAAAAAAATTTTAAACCAAGAGATTTCCCTTTCGTCAAATATGTGTCTGTAATTTTAATATCAGGAATTCGTGGACTAAAACTATCGACATTTTAAATGCTACATACTATGCTAGATTGATAGACATATAATATTATTTAAAATACCCGTACGGGCAAATAGGTAGGGAATTATGCATGTATCATAATAAACAGTCGTTAAACTGCCTGTACGGTTAGATTATTATGCGATAGTAAATATATAAACCATTTTCATTGTTTACGGTAAACGAGGTCATGGCCTATGTGGTGTAGAATAGTTACAGAAGATCATAATACTCAAGAATCTACTAATAATCAAGACATCATAATATCAATCAAATCAAACCCGCAAAACTATAATTTGCTTAATTACTGGTGGTAGGACCTGTTGTTCCGCACGGGTGGGTACCACCACCCCGCCTATTTCTGCCGTGAACCAGTAATACGTTTCGGTTTGAAGGGTGGGGTAGTCGCTGTCACTATACTGAGACCTTAGAACTTATATCTCAAGGTGGGTGGCGCATTTACGTTGTAGATGTCTATGGGCTCCAGTAACCACTTAACACCAGGTGGGTTGTGAGCTCGTCCACCATCTAAGCAATAATAAAAAAAAACAATGTCACCATCCATCTTGAATATTTCAAAACGGCTGCCCCACTCTTCAAACCGGATCTTTTATTGTTTAATGTTTTTATTGTTTGTTGTATTTGGTTGTTGATTGCATCTTAGTAAACGTATTTATATTAACATCACAAATTATATTAAAATGTATTAACCCAGTCAGAGTTCGGCTGCCAGTAGAACACATCAAAAACATGGTGGTCCAAACTAAGCCGAATATTCCGGAAACTAGCGGAACATATGTGGGTAAATGGCAAGCACTTTTCTCTACCCATTGCGTGCTTACAAAATCCACTGGTAAATCTATTAAAAATAATCATAAGTATATAGATATATGTATGTACGTAAAGTAGTTGTTTTATAATATTGTTTAGGTTTGACGATTAGAAAATGAAGAGATTTTATGCGAACTGAGGGTTCACTGACTCGACAGACCCGTAATGCACAGTGCGATTTCTTACACAATTATGTTTGTCTCTTAATTATTGTAATAAAACTCAGCTAATCTAAAGGGAAAATAATATCAACTTACGTAACTAATGATAATTACTTGCTGTTTTGAAAGGTTAACATTAAATGATTCCGTAATGCAAACCTACCTAACACGCGTCTAAAGGTTTTCTTTGTAATTTTTTTTCCACGCGCCACCTGATTTTTGTATTAAATTACTTGTAATGCATGGAAGTTTATACTAACATGTTTTTTTGGTACAATCTAATTTAGGAATCATGATTACTAATAAAAAAGCAAGTAATGCACATGGTCGCGCAGCTTAGACAATTTAATTAATTCATTTTTTGGAACGAAGTTCCTTATGGGACGATGCGGAGGGGTACCCTAACCGGGAAAAAAACGTCCGTAACGTAAGATTTTTATTAGTAATGCACACAGTGTACGACTTAACTTTGTAATAACGTACAAAAAAAATATCATAATAAAAAATGTATACCCGAATAATTATTTTCTTTATACCTCGAATAGAACTTAAAATTAATATTTATAATAATAAGGAACTTCGTTCCTATCCGGTGTCCCACGACACCACACTTTTTTTTTAACACTTACGTTCATCTATGTCGGCTGGTGTAAATTCAGAAATTAAGCTATAACGCACTGATGAAAGAGACAACAGCTTAGGGAAGAGAACACATTTGTCGTCGAACAAGTACATCAACATGTGGAAACAGAATGTACAGAACGAGCCGAAGACGAACGCCAAGAAAAATAAAAGTATCTGTGCACCTAAAAAATAAAATTGTACCAATGAAATGTTAAACTGGTATCATCGGGTTGGCTTTATTTTAAGTAGCGTCAACGGGAGCACGAGAAACAGATCCCGCCGCTAATTGATTATCATCATCATCATCATCATCATCTCAGCCTGTCTACTGTCCACTGCTGAACATAGGCCTCTCCAACTGATGTCCTGTGCGGCCGGTCCGTTGCCACCTGCAACCAACGTGACTCAGCAATTTTCACCAGGTCGTCGGTCCATCTGGTAGGTGGCCGTCCCACACTGCGTTTGCCAGTACGTGGTCTCCAGTACAGTAATTGATTATAATATCATTTAAAATATGATATCGTGTTAAACTCCGATTTCAATCTATAGTTTCGTAGTCAAAATAAATTAAAAGAATCGCAATAAAAAATTAACCTTTCCATACCACGTTGATTTCAGATTCGTTTCTCTCTATTAACCTCAGTTCTTCGTATAGTATTATTCTTTCCATGTTAATCTGAACACTAGATTAACGAATATAAATATCAGACCTTACGCAATTTGTTATTAATAACACGATATAATTTGACATCCATTGACAAAGGGTAGGAACAGTTGACAATTAAAAAAAATCATGTGTAAATCACAAAAAGTTTGTAAGACCTAATTTTAAAATAATTTGTTTTTAGATTGAAGTGGGTACGATAAATCCTTAGATTACACTGATCCTGTTGTTCTATATTTCTTGTTCTGATTTGTTCCGGTGAATACATTGTAAATTTACAATGTAAGATGCTTGATGATTAACGAATAATTTAGAATCAACCAATGTTTCTAGGTTCGTTTCTAGCTTTATGATTTACAAGAGCAAACCCTAGTTTACAAACGTCGAATCTCGAACGTTTAATAATGTTTTAAATAGCTTATAAATTTTAGAATTTATTTTTAAATAAAGTGCCATAGCTTATTGCATTGATACTGTTTTCAGATTACGAAATGACTAAATATCTTAATGTAAAGGACTTTACAGAATTTTGTAGATTGAAACTCAAGAAGACATAAGTTTTTCACCAACGTCTCACGGTCAGTACTAATTAAATGACCATTAGCGCGAAACGAATAGTGTTGTACAAAAACTATCGATAAAACATTGTTTTCTAAATTTAATAAGGCTGTATTTTATTACTGAATATTTTTGCCACCAACAATAAAAATGTTTACCTAAAAGTATTTTATGAACATGAGCAATATGAGTGGCAATACTTGCTTTTTTGAATTCACATAAATACAGAGGTCATCATCATCCAAAAATATTCCTCCTAATATACTCAACAAATAAATATTTATATTTCTTCAAAGCTGTAGATAGAAAAACCGTTTCACAGCTTATTTGTTAAACGAAGCCACAAAACGGGAGGTGTGAATATAAAAAATTAAAGGTTCGAGACTGCCTCGTCTTTTTGCTAATCAGTCGCTCATTGATGGGCATTGTGATGCGCCTGCCTAAGACATTTTCTGGTACTCTGTAGCTACTTATGTTGGTCAGTGGCACAGAGTAGTGCGTCACGTAGTCTCGTATTTTGGACTGCACTACCATGTTTCTTTTTCTTCTTTTACTGGTGGTAGGACCTCTTGTGAGTCCGCACGGGTAGGTACCACCGCCCCGCCTGTTTCTGCCGTGAAGCAGTAATGCGTTTCGGTTTGAAGGGTGGGGCAGCCGTTGTGACTATATTGAGACCTTAGAACTATATCTCAAGGTGTGTGGCGCATTTACGTTGTAGATGTCTATGGGCTCCAGTAACCATTTAACACCAGGTGGGCTGTGAGCTCGTCCACACATCTAAGCAATAAAAAAAATAATAAAAAAAAACCTAGAATCTGATAGATTCCGAAAGAAGCCCACATATACCTGAATATTAAATTTTAGCCGCACTGATGTTAACTACATATTGATACTTATATTAGGTATATTTAAAATACACATTTACATCAGTTAGCTAACAAAAAGGTATTCGTAAAAATGAAATCGATAGTTTACCACGATATCGATACATACAGCACTACTCATTTAAGTCACATTATCTGCCTCAAGTGGTATGACCGATATCGTGTTCCTACGATGCTTTGTATGCTGATCATTGATTGTTGGTATACAACATTCAGTAGTCCCGAGAACAAATGAAAATGAACACGTGTATTTTGTTGCAAGCTTTTGTCTTTTTGTTCTACGTCAATAATGTTACATCGGTGCGGTTAGATTTAAGTGCTGTTCACTGGAAATTGACCAACAAGAATGGATGTAAGTTTTATAGAATATTTTTTTGTATGGTGTGTTTTGTTTCCTATTTCTTTGTCATAGTTTTTAATAGTTTCGGCGTATACATTTCACAAACAGTAATTTAAACTAGATCTAAAATTTTGTTATTGAATCGATATTTGTTGATAGCAATGGTCAAAGGTTAAAACGGTTGTCCAAAACAATTCATGCGATGAGATTATATTAAACTTACGTTACTTACACATTTGATCTTCTATCTTCTGCTTCTCTCTCTCTCTCTCTCTATCTCTTTATTTTGAAACAGAGAGAGAGAGAGAGAGAGAGAGTATTCTTTATTGTACACCAAAAAACAAATAAACAGTGCGATACATTAAACACAAAAAAGTACAATTGGTGGTCTTATCGCTAAGAGCGATCTCTTCCAGACAACCATCAGGTGGACAAGAAACACATACACGAGTAAGATATATCAATGAAAACTGATTTAAAATCATCAAATACAGTGAAATAAGTAGTGCCCTTGTACTCTGTATCCTTATTGTCGTGTTTCTTCTACCAGCTGTGTGTACAAAATTTATTATTAAATAAAAATGAAATAAACACATTATTGAACTTTGAAAAAAAAAAAAACAATTATTTACGGCTGTATCTTCGAATGCCAAACTCAGCAGCTAGTCAGTAGGATAGCTCTTAATTATTGATTGATAGAAAATTTTCTTGTCAGCCATAAACTAATAACATAAAAGATAAAAGAACATTCGGCTGATTTTAAGTTGTATTAAAAATATTTATACGTATATCTTCATATTTACGGTCACAATTACATTTAGTTTAGATACCAGGTTTTACTAAAATATGTACATATATATCTGTTATTTATTTATAGCGATTGCAGTCCGCGGCTCTGTGCCGGGTGGGGTATATACCGATCTCAACAAAGCGGGTATCATTGGAGATGTCTTGTATGGTTTCAATGACGTGCTCAGCAGATGGGTGGCATACGATACATGGACGTATACTGGGAAGTTTAACGGTAGGATCAAATCGTTAAGCCATGGATCAAAGAACACATGCAATTTAGAATACTTACTGATCTTTCAGAATTACTATATCTTTTGTTACCAATCCTAGTTCTCTGATAACTTATCGAATTTGCCAAGCCACCAGTGCGCTTAGTGCGAGTTTTTAACGTTCTCGATAGCGTAAAAGTTAACTCACATTTGTATGTAGTTGGAACAGCGCCCCTAGCGGCAAACGTAGGTAAACGTTCCAACTCCATACAAATTTATGTTAACTTTTACTATATCGAGAAAGTTAAAAACCTCGTACTAAGCACACAGGTCTAAGTCTGAAATGTATAATCGTCTTAACCGAGTTTTAAAACCGGGACCGATGACTGTTTTGCGGCAGAAATTAGCCAAATCGTGATACGAATATATTATACCATCATATCTCTCATAATCATAATCTATCGTACCATCACTAAAAAGGTATTTTTAAAATTCTGCTGTGATGATTACAATAATTACAAATACGTTTATTACTTACGTAATTACAATTAATTTTAATCCAAGAGGACTGTTTTTGCAGTCAGCGCAGCAGACTTGAGCACGGAGGCAGTTAACTTGGTGTTCGATGGTATTGATACAGTGGCGTTCGTGGAAATAAACAATACCCCAGTTGGTAGCACGAGCAGTATGTTCGTGAGATACGTGTTTGATGTCAAGGAACAAATGCAGGTATTTATTAAGAGCCAGTTATCGTAAATTGCGTAGAAGCCTCAACAACAAGGTAGATAAATTTAATTGTCCACCGAAATCTGGCGATATAATCCATTAAAATGAGAAGTTGGGAAATCTTTATAAAACACGCGAAAGCCACTGATACGTATATAGCTACAAAATTCATCATAACATTATGATTTAGAACATTTTTATATTAAATGCTAAAATTTTGATTTTTATGTTGGATATGAAAACAGATTAGTTATAGTATGCTCAGCTTCTTAATGCACAGAGGTTGTGGTCTCTACGGAGCATTCTGAATCGCCGGATTTTTTAAGGCTTAGGATTTGAAAGCTCTCTTCAGTAGTGGGTAGCGGCTCAGCTGCACTCACTTTTTTAAAAGCTGCATACGTTTTTGAGGCGTTGAAGGGGCATACCTATTTAATTGATCCTGGAGCCGTATGGAAATTGCATATAGAGCCTGCCGTCATGTTTTGCAAAATACCGCTTATTAAAATAACAATATCTCTTTTGACTGATTTTATTTTTGACGATGGTTATTGCGTTTTGTGGACAGTCTTTTTTAGATTCTATAAAAAACAGATAGCTTTTCCAATTTGCATTCCTCTTTGATTGGGGATGCAGTTCCAGTTTTCGGAAATTGTAAGCTTTAACAAGGAATGGCTTCATGTGTATGTGGTGGTATTTACGGCGTGATGTTTTTTTTTTAATTGCCGTATAGGCAGACGAGCATACGGCCCACCTGATGGTTAGTGGTTACCGTCGCTCATGGATGTCAGCAATGCTAGGGGCAGAGCCAAGCCGCTGCCTACCATTAAGTCTTTAGGATCTTTAATGGTCTATTAATTATAAAAAAAAAACTATTTTCTTTCTCAATACCTTGAGTGCCACGCATTATCTGTTTTTTTGTGTGACCAAGATGTTCACATCTTGTCACTAGATAAGACTTGTCAGTGATGTCCAGATATGTATTTACAAAACGACATAGTAAGTAATGTAATCTCAACAACGTTTTTTTAGATAGGCGAAAATGTTTTGAAAATTACTTTTGTGTCGCCAATCGAAGCTGCAAATATCAGATCGCAGAAACATTTCGCAGCACCAGCCTGTGTCCCTGATGTATATAATGGAGAATGTCACGTTAATCAGCTGAGGAAGATGCAGGCTTCGTTTTCTTGGGACTGGGGACCTGCTCTACCGTCCGTTGGAATTTGGTAATTGAACTGCAAACTCGTACTAGTATTTATATTATTGTATAGATTCTAGAGTAGAACTCGCAAAATTATAATTTGCGTAATTACTGGTGGTACCTCTTGAGAGTCCGGACGGGTAGGTACCACCGCCCCGCCAATTTCTAATATGTTTCGGTTTGAAGGGTAGGGCAGCCGTTGTAACTGTACTTGAGACCTGAGAACTTATATCTCAAGGTGGGTGGCGCATTTACGTTGTAGATGTCTATGGGCTCCAGTAACCACTTAACACCAGGTG